ACATTAAACTTCGCGCTACAGGAGGAAATCGAACTAAGACCCCTGGACCTGGGGCCCAGTCTGCCCTCAGAGCCCTTGCCCGTTCAGGAATGAAGATTGGACGGATTGAGGATGTCACCCCTATCCCTTCCGACAGCACCCGCAGGAAGGGTGGTCGCCGTGGTCGCCGTCTGTGAACAGGACTCATCAAATTATTGTTTTCTGTTAATAAATTCCTTCATGTAAAAAAAAAAAAAGGTGCAGCCAGTGTGCTCCATGATAGCAAAGGTGATAAAGCTTAGTTGCACATATTTTGGGTATATTGCTGGAAATTATTCCTTGGAGAGGGACATCACACTTGGAAAGGTCAGCAAAAGAGGAAGTCCCTCAGCAAAACGGACTGTAACAGACTATCAGGCGGCACAGGATAGGACAGGGTTCACATCTGTTCATAGGGTCACTACAGGCCATACTTCACTGCACCTCACAACAACAGTAATCTACTGCAGTACAGGTTAGGATCCAAAACCAAAAGGTGAGTGGTTCAAGTCCACCAACAGCTCCTCAGGAGCAAGATGGACAGTCTCTCTCTGAAAGGATTTACAGCCTCAGAAGCGTGATGGAGGGCCGTCAGGAGTCAGAATCGACTCAACAGCAGGTTTGGCTCTGCTAACTACCTTTTCTTTTTTTTTTTTTTTTAAATAATGCCTTTTAGAATATGAACATGGCTTTTCTGACATTATCTTTTTTTTCTAACTATATTTTCTAACTACAACTGGTTATAGAATCAATTTAGTGTTAACCAATCCATCTAATCAAGACTCCTTACTAAGAAATGTTAAAGAGGAGACCTCTGGCCTTAGAGTAAAAACTACAACCCGCTCAACTTCTCAGCAACATTAAATCAAGAATTCAGATGGTACTTGGAGAACTCCAACCACCCAGGCTGTAGTCCTAGCCTAATACATGACAAAAGCAGCTGAGGCAACACAAGCTGGCTTCTGTGAAAATACCTAATTTCCCAAGGGGATCTGGAAAGTCATAATAGTGCTGTGTCGATTTAGAAATAAACTTGAATAAAAACTCAAATTTAACAAAAACCTTTAAGTTTATTGCGCAAATATACACTGAATTTCACAAATTCTGATCCATGTATAGGAAATCGATTACATTTACTTACCATTTTTTAAAGCAGCTAACAAAGCAAACGTACAGGCATCCAAAATGTTTCCATCATAATCGAGGCAAATGAGATCACAGTATAGAACCCAAGCGAGCTGAAAGATGGTTTACGTGCACAGAAAGCAGTCCGTTAACCAGCGGTGGGGAGGGGGAGTGTACCACCCTGCTTAGATACATGAACAGAATCTTTGCTTAGACAATCTAACTCTCAAATCCTAAATAACACTTTTACCTTGTAAAACAGGTGGAAGCTGACCTCTCACTACCCAGCAGACAAGTAAACTGAATGCCTCAGTTTCCCTCATTTAGGGCCATACGTGAGAGAAATTTCTCGTGTGGCTGCTAGGTCAGCAGACAAGGGATGTGCCTTTAAAGATGGCAGCTAATTCAGATACACCTTCCCATAGAAACTTGAGTTCATGAAATGTGTAGGTTTTACAGAGCTAAATTAGGGCACATAGACCTCAGACATACTGAGTCACCTGATTTTGTTGTTTCCCAGGACACAGATTTATACTATTCTGTGGCCTGTTAGGTGTGTAAGAGCATTATCAAGCAGTCTGAAATGTGAAAATTACCAAAATGAAACAGACACAAGGCTTTTGTTACTGCAAAAATGTCATCAACAAATTTGCTCAAAATAGGGTTACAATAAAGCAAAGCACAATAAAAAGTGGTAAGCCCGTATATGAGCAAACAGGAAACTCGAGGTTCTAGACACTGGTGGTAAATTTTCAAGCCAGCTCTGGGCATTTATGGTGTAGATTCACCTTACACAGTCTACCATAATACAGTATTATGGGGAAAATGAATTACCTCAGCTTCAAACTAACACATCAGTGAGGGACTGTATCAGTCAAAATTAGGGAATTTTAACTCCTCTTACCTTTCCCTGTGAAATGCATAAGTCTTCTTTCTGAATTACCTGTGAACTTGATTTAATAATGAAGAGCACAGTTAATGAAAGGTCAAAACTACCTGAAAATTAAGCAACAGTCACGTTGTATCATCATGATCTTACTTTTCGATGACATCAGCAATGAACTGGCTGGCCACTTGAGCCTCTTCGCCAGGGGGTCCAGACCGAAATCTCGACGAACACAGGGGTGGTAAATCCACGTTAGGAACTGAAAGAAACATTCTCTGGCTATGAACTAAAGTCCCTTGAGTGTTAACACTGTCAGTCTGCAGCAAAGGCCACTGTGGCCACAAGTGTCCCACGTAGAAAACACCTATAGCATCTCACCTCTCTTCTTTTTGGTCTTCTAAGATTTCCTAGGATCACACAGAGCCAATCTGACACTTTCCCTATTATTTTCATACCAAGAAGAAATATAAAACAAAAAACCCAAAGCATCTTATATCAGGCCTTATTCTTTTAAAGCTATCCACATTTCCTAGATTTTAATCAAACTCCCCTAAAGACAGCCACTGTATACATTCAGCCACCTGGTATCTTAAACATGTTCCCACCTTTTTACAAAGCACACTGTGAAGAAGGAAGCCCCTGCCCCTCCCAAAACTGAAGCCAAAGCAAAGGAGTTAAAGGCCAGGAAGGCATCCTGAAGGGCATCCACAGCCACAGAAAATGGAAGATCCGCACGTCACCCACCTTCCAGCAGTCTAAGACGCTGAGACTCCAAAGGCAAACCAGATACCCTGGGAAGAGGAATGCCCCCAGGAGAGACAAGCTTGACCACTATGCCATCATCAAGGTCCCCTGACCACTGAGTCAGCCAGGAAGATAAAAGATGACACACTTGTGTTCACTGTGGATGTCAAGGCCAGCAAGCACCAGATTAAACAAGCTGAAGCTCCAGGACGTTGATGTGGCCAAGGTCAACACCTTGATTAGGCCTGATGGAGAGAAGACTCATGTTCGACTTGTTCCTGACTATGATGCTTTGGATGTTGCCAACAAAACTGGGATTATCTAAACTGAGTCCAGCTGGCTAAATTCTAAATATAAACTTTTCTTTTAAAAAACAAACAAAAAAAAACCATAAAACCCACAAACCAAAAATGTTTCCTGCCATAAAGAACAGAAGGTCCAAGACTTGAAGAAAAATGGCATTATAACAAAAGAGAAACTTTATGGAAACAGAAAAGTTTGCAAGTGTCTATTTAAAAAACCCTGAAAACCAACAAACAATGTTTCTGTTAAAACACACAACCAACATATCAATCTAGAGCTCAGGTGCCTTAGGAGTCCAGAACTGCACGGCCAACCCAAAGGCAGCACGCAGTTCAAACATGCCGCTCACTGCCCACGGGAGAAAGCTGGGCAGTCCGACGTGATTTACTGCCTCTGAAACCACTGAAAGGTTCCGACCAACAATGCCTAATAATAGCGTATAAGTACCTGAGGAGCCCGGGTGCCTGCACACCTGGCACATTGGGCTGCTAACCAAAGGCTGGCAGTTACAATGCGAGCTGCTTCGGGGGAGACAGAGAAGGCAGTCCTCTCCCGTAAGGACTGACAGTCTGGAAAAGCCTGACAGACGGTCACCGTGAGTGGAAATCTACACAGAGGCCGTGGGTTTACACAGCTACCATGCAAATGAAAGTCTCTATCCCTTAGGTAGCACGCTTGATAAAGGTTAACAAAGTTCCTTATCTTGTTGCGATGCTATCTTTCTTGGAACATCTGTACAGAAAACGAGCAAATACTGGTTTCATTCCTGAATACTTTTCTTTTCATTCCTGTATACTCTTGAATCTTAGGGAATCAGCATCCTCTTCAACTCACACACTTACTAAGGATTTAACACTAACATCAGTATTAAATGTTAAAGTTTGTATTAAAATTACTCACCTATATACCCTTTATCAGGGGCATCTGTTGGTGGCGTTGTGAATTCCTATGAAAGCAAACAAATGTTTCCTTTTGAGAGCAGTTACCAAAACGTGAAGACATTTTAATCAGTTATGAAAGACCCTTACAAGACCATCCCTCTAGTGAACTGTGGTATCACACTCTACTCGGGGAATTATGCCAAGGGCTTTTCGCACATGAGAGAGCTCTGGCGGCCTCATGGTATGGAGTCTGCTGGCAACCCAAAGGCACACGGCGCAGATACACCAGGTGCTCCACAGAAGGACAGACCGTCTCCTCCCACACGACTTACAGCCTGTGAAAACCCGCCAGGGGTCGGCTCTGCATCTGCTCCAACTCAACACCAGGTAATGATGACAACTAACCAAACTGGCTCGGATCCTCTGGACAGCTCTGCAAGGCAGATGTCTGTCCCCTCCTTTGTCGAGGATCCAGTACACAAGAATCCGAATGTAATCCCTAGGAGACAGTGACTGCTAGTGTAATAAAGCAAAAGCTGAAAGGCCCTGGGCAAGTCTACCTCTCGCCTCCAATATCCTCATCTATAAAATGGCGAGAGTGCCCACTCCAAGGGTTCACAGCAACCCTATGTCTAATGGCTCTGAACCCTGCCTTGTCCTGAGCCAGTCTCACTGACTTCATCACTTCTAATGCCATTGCCCCAGTTATCACCAAGGAGTGTTAGGAGGGTGAGATGAGATAATGCATGGCAAGTCCTTAACACAAAACCTAGCCAGAAGTAAATATTCAAATCTTAATGCTGGTTATTCCCAAGTATTACTGAGAAAGACTGTGAACTCAAATAACCTGCAAGAATATTGTTGTTGTTGTTGTTATGTGCCGTCGAGTCGTTTGTGACTCATAGCGACCCTATGTACAACAGCCCTAAACCCTGCTCTATCCTGTGCCAATCACA